TCCGCACGCCACGTACGTTGTCAACGTGTCAGCATACAACATGTTTTCACATGGGAATAACTTCTTAATCATTATCTATGATCAATAATATCATTCTAAGGTGAATTCCTTTTTTTAATATCTCGTACAAGTGTACGTTTTTATTAAAATTATTGAAATGTTTGCTGAGCCTACGCAGTTGCAAAATGGACAGTAGACTGATGGAAGTCAGTGACTTGGATTGTCGTGATGAAGACATCAGAAATTAATCGAAAATATTACATTTTCCATACTTACGCGTGTAGTAAAAATACGGATTCACTTCAAAATATATGGATAAATTAAAGCAATTAGGTATTTAGCTTACGAAATTGGTTTCTGGGGCATTGGGCATTACTCATGTGCAAATTTTTCCAAAACAAGATTGTCTCCAAAGTTAGTTCGGAAATAGATTATATAGTGGAATATTTGGTAGGAGATAAAATAAAATTTGAAATCACAGATTAACAGATCATAAAATGAGTGTTCTATAGGAAGTGGCAACGAAAGAAGTTATTTCACATAACGACTTCAGAACGGAGCCGCAACGTTCTAGACTATAACGCGGCATTCCAAGCACGTTTTGTGGCTAAGATTGAATCTACCATCGGATAGATCGTAGCTCATTAGTCCCAGCATATCCCTTCCTAAGGAAACTCTTCAAAAAAGTTATCAACGCAGATGAAAGTTGTACAGTCCGTTGTATCGAAAAGAAAATTCTTGGAACATGGCATATTCTAGAAAGCTGTTTAAACATTATGGAATGTCACTGAGATTTTTATCAGCACCTCTTGTTAAATGTAGGTAAGAAGTTTAGCAAAAGCCCGTATGCCACAATGAAAGTTTTCATCGTTTCATTGACAAGACATTGGACTAAAAATATTTTACGGGTTCAGCTGTTTTCTCTAACTGCAAAGATCAAACATTTTGCTACAAATCTTCGACAAGATCATGTCCACGTTTAGAAATCACAAAACAATGATTATTATATAGGGTGTCCCAACTATGCGAGAAAGGAGTATTGCTCCTAAACAAAAAGTTTTCAATGAAAACTATTCATGGATTATTATATAAGGTATCTAGAGGCATATTTCTAGAGCAATCACAGTTATTCAGGGTGCCCTAATTTTTACCAACATATTAAAGTTGATTTTTCTTAAATGCCCAATTTTTTGCAAGACATTTTTGTATATATGTATATGTCAGGTGAGAAATGCTTCAGCCTCTAGTTGGGTACTTCGACAAGATTAAAGCAATGAGGACAATTTTTACTTTATTATCTCGAGCTTTCGATGAACTATGCCATCATCACAACATAAAATCATCAGAACCGAGGACGTGTTGGGCACCATCTTGTAAAGGAACAGGTGGTTTTCGACGATGTTATATTGCTACAATTTCAACATTCACTGTAAATAATTTTTAATCCATTGTGATGTGTTCCTGACATACAGCTGCGTGTTTTTTTACTATTTTTAACGAATGTACCATGGATCCAGATTTCACCAGGCTACTAAATGTTTCCATCAACCTAGCAAATAAACACATTTAGCAATAATCTCTTGTAAGCAGTGTAAATTCAATCTTGCATTTGTAGTTGCTATTTTTTGCCCAATGTTATTGTAGCTCCTGATGATGATGGCATAGTTCATCGGAAGCTCGAGATAATTAAGTAAAAAGAGTCTTCATTGTTTTAATCTTGTCGAAGTACCCAACTAAAGGCTGAAGCTTTTATCACCTGACTGGTTCTTTAGACGACAATGACCACGGCTCAAGTTTGTTATCATGTTATCATACTCATGAGTTTTGGTTATTAGATGTTGAATTAATGGGTATTTAATATGAAAAAATATCAAATTTTGACAGCCTGCATGTCGGTCATGTTGACAAGTGGAGCCGTGAATTATGTGCCAACATTATTTTTATTCTACTTCCTTTCTATCTTGAGCCATGTTTTCAGAAAAACCTGAAATTTGCGCATCTCATAAATGGCCACGGGTCACCAAATATAATCAATAGTGATGCGCCGTTTGTGAAGGAACTAGTTCAAACAAACGATTCTTATGACTGAACGAAATGAACTAGTTCAACATTCCTCGAAAAACTCGCTCACCACGAACGACTGGTATTAGAGGATCCCAATGATCCAAGCAAGCCAGTACTCAGTGACCGAACGAAAACTAGATAGGAGACGAGATACCGCCCTAAGCAACTAAGTAAGCATCAGGTTGTACAGGATCCGTTAAAATAAGCATGGGAAAAAATATTTTATTATATCAAAATTCTCAGAAATGCATGCCATTTTTTTGAGTAAAACAAAATTTACGTTCTAGAAACTATGTCGGCCATATGGCGCCCTTGAGCCGAAATGCAGGAATCAAGCCTCTCCCGAAGTGAGCCCATTGCGTCGGCCAGCATCCGTACAAGAATTTGGGTTACTTCCCTTTCTTATTTCCTCCTTCAAATTGACGAGGGTCCGAGGCTTGCTTTGGTAAACTTTTAAATTCAGGTAGCCCCATAAAAAAAATCACATGTTCACAAGTCCGGGGAGCGAGGGGGCCATGGAATATCAATATCGCCATGATGTGAAATGAGACGTCCTGGAAATTTTGGCCGAAGAAGTTCCATCGAAGTGCGAGCTGTGCGAGATGTTGTTCGTCTTGTTGGAACCACACTGTTCTGAGACGGACACGTCGACGTCGAAGTTCCGGAAAAAAAGATGTTCAGTATGTGGATGTACTCGTAACGCTCTGAATTCACAGTAGTTGTTTCTCCATCATCCTCAAAAAAATAAGGGCCAATAACCAGCGTTGGGCCTACTGCACACCAAACTGTAACTGAATAAAATGAAGTTACTAAAAAGGATAAACAAACCGTGTTTGTTACCACGGGTAAAAGAAATACGTATCAGCTGACTTTTATACAACATACCATCCCTTGAGGATAATGAATAAATCAAAATACTAAAATGTATAGAGTAAAACGGGGAAATATGCCGCAACGGCTAATACGCCTCACTTCGCTCATAGTTCACTCCGACGGTTACAGAGGGCACTTACCACATTAATCTGTCGCCATAAATGCAAGCAAGCCCGTTACGTTTGAATGTGTGTTAATTACTTGATTTAGTGTAAGATAAACCCAAAAAACCGGTAATTACAAACCAAAAATTATGTTTATATGAGATATGATAAGAATTTTTTCAAGTTTTCGTGGTCCGATTTAAATAATCCTTATTGCTAGGCAAAGTAAGATCCATAACCTAACATTTAACACATGAACCGCTTTCTGAATTTACACCGGGTTTGTGCGTTTTAGTTGAAATGTTACTGTTGCGCAGTGGGCCAATATGCCGCATAAAAGTAACGGTGCGGCATATTATCCCATTTATTTTTTTCATGTGACAGATCCTAATGTGGTGTGATTTTCTGCTTATTTCAGATTAACACAATGCCACGTTCTTATATTCGAAGAAATGTAAGAGTTCAATGGTCAGAAGAAGACCTTCGGAATCAGTATCTGATATTCATGGAGGTAAAGGATCGGTTCGAGAAATAAGTCGTACTTATAATGTTCCAGTTAGAACCTTAATGAGAAGAATGCGGTCGGGAAACTTAAATAAAGTGACATTAGCTCGCAAAAGCTTACTCAGTATGGTACAAGAAACAAGTTTAGTCAAATATATACAAAACATGGCATCGCACCGCTTTGCTTTATCTGCTCATGATATAAAAAAGCTTGCATATTCTTTTGCGATACAACAAAATATTCCTCATAATTTTAATACCGAACGAAAAAGGGCAGGTCAAGATTGGTTTCTCGCTTTCATAAGACGACATCCTGAACTGGCAGTACGTAAGGCTCAAGGAATGTCTACTGCCAGAGCCAAAGGCAAGCCGAGACAAGAATGTACCCAATATTTCGAACTGCTAGGAAACGTTTTCAGAGAAAATAATTTATTAAATAAGCTTCAAAACATTTTTAATCTCGATGAAACTGGATTGCAGTTAAATAATAATCCAGGTAGTAACCCAAGAAAGCGACGATTCAGAAATCGATACTGATGAGTCAGAATTTTGTGCAGCATGTCATGGGTGTTTTTACGATAAAAAAGGTCCCAAATGCGATTGGTTCCAATGCGTAACATGTTTGAAATGGGTCCATGAAATATGTACGCAATCTGACAGATTTTGCGAAGAGTGTACGCCGTTATCCGAAATAGCTACCAAGACAAAATCACATTAAATGATATTTACCAGTATACCTAAGTATATTAACAGTTACATTATTAGGATTATCTGTCTTGTTTTTTACTTTTTGAGTGTTTTCATTGGAAATAAAAGTGTATTTTTGCAATTATCAGCATTTTCTATAAAAAGTTGAATTTCCTAATTTTTACGTTACGAAAACATGTTGCCTTATTACCCAGAGCTTGATGCCATATTACCCATAGGTGCGGGTAATATCGCAATAATGAGTCATTGGACATTTTTGATTATAGTATTTTTGTCGATGGGAATAGGGCAACGAGAGTTTTCACACCGCAAACGTGCATGTGTAAGCTCTAAGGTTCAATAATCTTATTGCGACTAGGTACGATGGAGGTCAGGCTGTGAGCGTTTTAAATTTATGATGCCATATTTCCCCGCTTTACTCTATGTAAATTAGCTTCAAATAGCCATCTAAAAACAATTTTTTTTAATTATCAGGCAACCAAATAAGTTCGTGCGGTTTTTAGTATAAAAATATAAATTTTTATTGAGAAACAATAAGACACTATTTATCTGTCGAAATAATTACCATCACATACAATGACCTTTTGCCGACGTGGAACCAATTTTTGTATGCTGGTATTGTAGAACTGCCTGGATTTGGAGTCAAAACATTGGCGGACTGCATTTATTACACCATCTCAAGTTGTGAACTGTCGGTGCTTCATACAGTTGACAAGAGACAAAAAAAGGTGATAATCACTGGGCGAAATGTCGGGGAGAATATGGCGGCTGCGGTAACGTTTCCTAGCTGAGTTCAGAAATTTTTTCTCGGATCACTTTTACGGTATGAGGCTTGGCATTAACCTGCAAGAATATCACTTTCTTCCGAACTCATAATGGACAATTCGAGTTGCTGTCCACCGAACAACAAAAACCTTGTTTGGGTGCAAGGAAGCCTTGAGCGTGTATGGTACCGAATCAGTAGGCGACAACCAATAATACGAACGCGTAGAATTCGAATACAAGATCCATTTTTCGTCGCAGGTTAATAACCGATTAAGAAATGGTTCATTAGCGTTGCGTGAAATATTTTCTGAACCAATGGTAAGACGACTTAATTTGTTACCATTAGTCAGTTCATGTGGGACGCATTTGCTTAACTTCCACGTCTTTCCTAGCTGATGAAGATGCAAACGAATAGTTTCAGGACTCACTCTGAACATTTCTGCAAGTTCTTGGCACGTTGTCCTGGAATTTGCGTCCACAATCTGTCGAAGATCCTCGTTGTTCATGATTTTTGGTCTCCCTGAGCGCGGTTCATCGCTCAAACCGAGATCTCCCGAAGAAAATTTTTTGAACCAATTTGATCACTAACGGCGGTACATATTTGTCGCGCCGCCGCTGCAGCTTTTGTACCAAGTTTGTACTCATACAGTAAACAACTTCGAGTTACTATTTTATTCATCGCCATTTTCAATTATCAAAACTAGGCATGTAACAATTTTCAGCAACTTTTTATGTGTGTGAGAAAAGAAGGATTCATACTAAAGTGACAAGAGGTAACAAACAATCGCTATCGATCAACAACATCCATGGCAATGTGCGATATACAACAACCGCACGAACTTATTTGGTTAACTTTTTATGTGTGTGAGAAAAGAAGGATTCATACTAAAGTGACAAGAGGTAACAAACAATCGCTATCGATCAACAACATCCATGGCAATGTGCGATATACAACAACCGCACGAACTTATTTGGTTACCTGATACATCGGCTTTAGTCTATTACTTCTTCCTGACAAGAGTTACACAGCCTTCGAGAATAGCCGCCGACACAAACGTTTTTTAACAATCTCAAATAATTTGTGACAGATTTGCTCTTTCTTATCGCCATTTCAGGAGATTCTTTGTTCCCGGTGGAAGCGTTTCATTAAAATAAACATCAATTTCGATAATCCATGCTGTGACTGCATTCAAGCTCAGAAAAAATGGTCCCAAAGGTTTGAGTCTGTTTTCTTCTTCTTCTTCGGTTCATTTTCCGCTTAGGTTCCGTCTGCTATTCCTAAAAAGACCACTGTTCTCCCGGAAGGAAGACGTCTGGCAACGCTAATAAAATCTATGATTTATTCTTTAAAAGTCCTAAGAATTGGTGGAAACAGAAGCAAAAGTGATAGTGATAGAAGTGATTTGAGATTGTTAGAAGACGTACATATCTCAGGTACAACAACTATGACCAAAAGTTTACGTCGACTATTTGAATTTGAAACATCAATCTTAAAAAAAAGTGAAAAAGCAAGAAAATCAAAATATAAGGTGTTCCGAAGGGGTTGTTTTTGTTTTAGTGATCGCGAATTAATTTAAGAAAATGAACTAGGCACATGGACATATCAATCCCCCCAAATCGTTCAAAATTGTTACACTGACCTGGCATGTTTCTGCACATCGTTATACATCATAACGGTAACATTGCCCTCTTTATATTGATGTATATTTATCGATAGCTGCAAGCTTATATACTCGTATTTTTGATAATAAAACTTCGCTGTATAACTTACGTGAGTGTTTGCCGGCATTAAGGTCGTTCTTGTTTTATAAACTATGCATTCATAGATTCAACACGGTTCGCTCTCAGTCTGCGATGTTTGTGTAATAAATTGCTCTTGCGTCGACGAAGCTTGTAAACAACGGATCCCTGATAGATTTACTAAATCGAAATTTATTGCGAAAAAACGCTACTCCGATGAATTACGTCTGCGACAGATTCCAGTCAATAGACGAGTTATTGTTGTAATAAGACATAAAGAAATGCTTTGCATTCTGAGGCATTTTATTTCAGTGACAATATTTTGAATCCCCATGCTTATACCAGTGGTTTAGAGATGATTTAAGGTTTTTCTCCACTTGGTTCGCAACACCTTAGCATTTTTTGATGCAGTTTGCATTAAAATATTATAAAATTCAAACGCAATATATGGAATGTTGAAAGTTTTACGTATCTGGAACATTGATGGAGCAAAAGAGGTTTCTAAAGTCAGTTTGCTGAGATGCAAGGCAATTTGACAACAACAAATCGATGAAGATTGAAATTTGTATTGAGGAAATTTACCTATTAGTCGACAAAAACTGCGTGTATGAGGTAAGCCCGTAAGGTATGATATACAGGGTGTTCCGGGCTTAAATGGATATAGTAAAACGGTAGGTAGTATGGACCGAGACCTTTTGCACATCTCAGAATAAAAAAGTTCTAAACTTATTTCTACGGATATGTGTGATTTATTTGAACACGCCAAATTTTTAATATCACATATCACAGGCGGTATTGAACCAATTTGAATGAAATTTTGTACAATAACAGAGTATTTTGGTTTTTACATCTTTTTAGTAGTTTATCAAAATCAACAGCTTTTAAGCTGGATATTGAAATGTTTGACTAAGTACAGAAAAAGCCAATCAACGCTGCTTATTAATTAGCAAAATAAACTGTTTGTGCCTTCTTTGGTTTTTTAAAACGTTGTAACTTAACTTTATCAACATTTTACAAAAATAATGCTCAGAGTTGAACTGAAAATGTTTTGATGATCAAAGTTCTAGGGACGGATTAAGTCTTTTCCATTCACTTTTTATCTCGATATTTTTATTTATTCAATTGTGATAACTAATAGCATTTTATATGTAAATGCATCGAGTTTGACTTTAGATATCAACCAAAATTATGCCAAAAATATGGAAAAACCTAATATACTGGTCCGGACTTTTCAGCGTTTACACTCTAGCTACGTTTACACGCTTCCATAAACTGTACATTAGACTTAATTACATAGTGCACACAATAAAATGTCACGTTTTTGTAGATTTTTAACTTAATTACAAATTGGTCTGTAAGATAAAATTTTGTGGATTTGCATTCTGAACGTCGATTCCTTTTAAGCAAAACTCATGCTGTTCTACATCTGGTAGAATCAAGTCATCAAAAAATGACCGAAAAACTGATTTGGTAGCATAATATTAATCTTGCCTTCCATTTATTCGATTTCAATATCCAACTTAGAAAGTGTTGTTTTCGACAAAATAGAAAAAGTCAAGTCAGCTCAGGACTTTCTAACCGTTCGACTAGATTTAAGTTACTTCTAGGTAAATATGTTATTGTGCGAAATTTTATTAAAATCGGTTGGTTTAATAGTGCCTAGGGTATGAGGTACTAAAGATTTGGTGATAAGATGTGATAATTCCTTGGTCCATACTACCATATCGTTATGTCCATTTAGATCCGGTATATCCTGTATACTTTTTTGAGTGTGCCCTGCCACCAAACCAACTTGTTGGATAGCGTCTGCATTTGACGAAACCGGGTCTGAAAATCCGGACCTGTCGTAACGAAATTATTGAGGCAGGCGACGACGTCTGACTTATGAGTATACGACCGCATTCCAAATTAAAGTCAATCCGGGAGTTGATTCGCACCTTTTGCGTCGAAAAACCAACGTCGGTTGGACCCACAAACAGTGGTGGAGAAACAAGAAACTTTTCTACGGATGACCGAGAGGCACGTGTTATAGTCGGCAGTCTGGCATCCAAAGTCAACGTTGATCGCAAATGACCGCTCTAGAGTGACAAAGTAGCAAATTGCTGGCTATTGGTTGCGTTTGGATCGGCGATGGAACACTTCCACATTGTCGGTTTACCAGCTGATAGTATGATATAATATCATGGATGCATGGATCGTCATATAAATGTTACAACTATAAAAAAATAAGTTGCTGCCGTTGTAAAAGATCGTATGCGCCAAACTACTTGTCGCCCTCAAAATGCTGCTACGTTCCGATATTCGTCTTGTGCAAGGGCGGATTTAGGATTTCGTCTAGGGGGCGCAAACGATATTTGGGGCTTAAGGATTTATCCTATTATTGCTCCTTAAATCCATTGTGTTCTATCTGGTCAATGCCAGCTTGAAAAGAAACCATGGAAAATGCTCAGAAATCCTCAGAAAGGCAATATAAAATAAGTACGTGGCATATATAATTAACTAGTGTAATAATATTAAATATTTAAACATAAAAAACTTTATTGCTCTGTTAACCGAAAAAAAGCATTTTGAGGGACCCCGAAATATATCCCAGTCCATTCCACACAAAACAATGTCTTTGATGGCGAAAACGAACATGAGTCCGAAAAATTCAGATTATCGTATGGACACTAGAGACAAAGAAGGATGTCTATAGTCCAACCATAGATCGTGTCTTGAGAGCGTCTCCAGACTTTATAGACAAATTGCGCAAAGGGGGCTACTAGTGTGTACTAAGCTTAAGGATTAAGACTCTGAACTGCTCATTAAACAAATCAAGTAATAGGTGCAAATACTGACACAATCAAGCCCTTCAAAAGGTGATAAAAAAATCAATAGGTATAGTTAATTATTTTTGGAAATTCAGTATAGATGTTACAGTTATTCTTCAGACTTTCCTTGTAGAACTTAGATTTACGGCATAATTGTTGTTTTCTCAGTTTCGCATGTAAAAATGTTGGAGATCTTTGGAAAAAACTATATCTGTTAGATACTAATTATTTTGATAATGTATGTTTGTTCGAAACAAGTACATAAATACAGGGCTGTACATATTCACGTGTAGTGCAGAAGGTCTGTGATTTAAACGAATTCAATATATCAACATAAATAGATACATACGCGGGACGAGATGCGGGACGGTGGTATTGACTTTGAGCATCGAGCGACGCATTTTCTGGACAGGACACAAGCGCACCCCTAGACAAATCTCATAAATGTCTATTTCCAATTTAGGCGTTCATCTAACATAGTGCTTTGCTGCAACACCAACCCCAAACAAAATCAATCAAGCTTTACACACTTTTCAAATTACTATTGAATAACAAACAAATTAAATCACTTTTTAAGTGCAATCTGGGTAGCTAATATATTACTCAGTCTCAGATTTGTCACAAGTCACAATACTCGTATATATACGTACGTATAAATTGTAAGAATTGTGCTGTGAACGTAAGTGATGTGTCAAAGAGGGACAGCGTTTGGAATACCACAGGATTCCAAAAAATCGCATGCTCAGTTCCTCTAGCTATAACTTATAGTGGTATGCCTCTGTCGCACAATGGTGTTAGATTACAAATGTCTAGGCCCTCAGGCTTCCACCTCTAAATCCGCCACTGGTCTTGTGAATCGAACGTAAAGTAAGTCCCTTTTTACAACTTCCTGTTTGGAACCAGTATTCTAAAAAAATTTCATGTGACTATTTCATCCTGTCTATAGAGATGACTAAAAAACAATGTTTTTTCTGTGACG